GACCGTCCAGGGCTCAGGGAGGCGGCTTCGGAGGGAGAGAGGAGGAGGGAGGAGAGAAGAGGGAGGAGGGAGGAGGGAGGAGGGAGGAGGGAGGAGGGAGGAGGGAGGAGGGAGGAGGGAGGAGGGACGACGACGACGACGACGCCCCCGGGATCTCCCAAAGCCTCTGGGGAAACCGCAGGGGCCACCGCCAGGGCCTCCCAGAGCGAGGCGCCACAGTTGGACTTCGATGCCATGCCAGGCTTAGCTGCCTGGCGGGGAGGGTGCCCTTCTGGGTCTGCAGGGTCCTCCAGGGCTGCAGGGGCCCCTAGGGGCATCCCAGGGCCCCCAGGGGCTTCGGGGGACTTCGTGCCCTGCCAGGCCAGCATATGTGACGAGAGGGGTGTACCCCTCCCCTTGAGCCCTTGTGCCCCCTCGACAGGGCGGACAGACGTTGGGGGAGGCCTCCCGGGGCACCTCGCCGTCACTGCGCCAGACGCAGCACGACAAGTTGGCCTCGGGTTTTGAGGCCTGGGGTTTTGAGCGGCGCCTGGCCGAGCTGTGCGAAAGGGGCCTTCCGAAGCTGTCTGGCTTGCGCGCTTGCTCTATGCATGTGTGCATGTATGTAAGTATGTAGGAGGAGGAGGAGGAGGAGGAGGAGGAGGAGGAGGAGGAGGAGGAGGAGCAGGAGGAGGAGGAGGAGCAGGAGGAGGCAAGGCGGTTGACTGTAGACGCCCCAGGGAGGTCGCCGGAGAGCGGCCAGGCGGAGCGAGGGCCCGGGGCGGCATCGCCGATGCATCGGCGACTCTGGGGCTCCGGGCAGAATCGAATCGGGCTCCAGATCCTGCCGCGTCGCACACACATCGGCGACGCGCTGCGATTCTCCGACCCCACCTTTTCGGGTCCCGCTTTGGAGGCCTGAGCCTGCGCCCTCCAGATCCTGCCCAGCCCCGTCCGAAGGGCCCCGCTGCACGAAGCGCGAAACGCAAAGCGCGACTCTCTTCGCGCTCTTGCACCGCACGCCCCACCGCCGCTGTAGAAGGGCAGCTCTGCGGCGGGTCTCTGCGGCGCGTCTCCGCGGCGCGTCTCTGCGGCACGTGCCGCAAAGCGCGAAGCGCCATCCTCTTCGCGCCCCTGCAGGTGTCCTCCCAGGAGTGAAAGAGAGAAAAAGAGGGAGAGATAGAGAGAGAGAGCGAGAGAGGAGGACGAGAGACAGAGGAGAGAGAGAGAGAGGAGGGGCGCAGCGGGAGAGGGAGAGAGAGAGAGACATAGAAAGAGATAAGATAAAAAGAGGCAGACAAATAAAGAGGGACAGAGAGACAGACAGAGAGAGAACCCACCCCTCACCACTTGTTAAACTCATGGCACACGCGAAAAGCGTCGCCGGCTGGTCGCGCGCGCCTCCGCCCCCGTCTCAGGCCGCGAGGCCATGGAGACCAGCGATGAAGAAAGAGGCCGTGGGGGCCGCCAGAGGTGTTCTTTGCAGAGGTGGCAAGGCAGGTCGATATCCTTCGAGGCTTACGCGGAGGACTTCTTGGACGAGCCCCCGGCGCCGATGAGCGCGAACACGAGGTACAGGAAGAACACCTCCACCGATATCCGACGAAGCTGAGGTGAACAGCTTCGCTCTTTTTCCCCTTTCTCTCCTCCTCGTACCACCCCCTCACACATACACACGTCACCCACACACACACACAAACTTTTTGGTCGGCGGGGCGAGAGCGAACCTCTTCCGCTAAAAGCTAGCCACACACACACACACGTGTCCTTGCTTTTCCTCCTCCTTCTCCTCCTCCTCCTCCCCCTCCTTCTCCCCCCCTCCTCCCCTCCTCCCCCTCCTCCTCCCCCTCCCCTCCCCCTCACCCTCCCCCACCCTCCCCCTCCCCCCCCTCCCCCCTCCCCCCCCTCCCCCTCCCCCTCCTCCTCCCCCTCCTCCTCCGCCTCCTCCTCCGCCTCCTCCTCCTCCTCCTCCTCCTCCTCCTCCTCCTCCTCCTTACCCCCTCCCTGGCGCGCGGAGCGCGCCAGGGGCGGCGCCGGAGGCGCAGCCAGCGGGGTCCCAGCGCAGATCCAAGAAATCCGCGCGGAGCGCCAAAAGTTTATGTTATGGCGTTTTTCGTCGAGTCTTGCACCACAAACATTGCATCTGAAGTGGTTGTCCCACAGAGATTGGCGCACACATGTTCCACCACAAAGCCTGCGCCACCCATCGCCCTGGCTCCGAGAGAAGATTTGGCTCTCCTTATGCTGACGCAGGGGATGTCCGTGCGGCTTTTCGGATTGGGTTTTCGAACGTGTTTTGCACGATCGCTCATCCGACACATGCTATTATACCATCCTCGGCAGGCTGATATCGGAGAGAGAGTGATCCACCGCCGCTTTACTGTGGAAAACTGCCGCCCTTTTCCTCCGGAACCCGGGCCCCCCCCCCCCCCCCTCCGAAAATCCCCCCCCCCTGCTGGAACCCCCCCCCCCCTTCCCCGGCAAAACCCCCCCCTCCCCTAACCCCTCCCCCCCCCCCTCGAACTCGAAAACCGGGGGGGGTCACTACCGGTTCGAACCCCCCCCCCCTCGAAAACCGGAGGGGGGGGTCACTACCGGTTCGAACCACTGAGCTGTCCCACTGTTCCCACCACTGTCCCCACTGTCCCCACCACTGTCCCCACTGTACCTCTGTCCCATTGTCCCACCGCCGTCCTCGCCACCGCCTTCACCACTGTCCCCACCACCACTGTACCCTCCACTGTCCTACTGTTTCCACCACATTCCCACTGTCCCCACACCACTGTCCCCACCACCACCGTCCCCACCACTGTCCCACTGTCCCCACTGTTCCCACCATTGTCCTCACCATTGTCCCCACCACTACCGTCCCCACCACTGTCCCACTGTCCCCACCACTGTCCCGCTGTCCCCTCACCACTGTCCCCACCACCACCGTCCCCACCACTGTCCGCACCCCCCCTCGGTTTTCGAGGGGGGGGGGGTTCGAACCGGTAGTGACCCCCCCCGATTTTCGAGTTCGAGGGGGGGGGGGGGTTCGAACCGGTAGTGACCCCCCCCCCTTTTCATGATGAACTGGGGGGGGGGGAGGGGTTCGAACCGGTAGTGACCCCCCCCGGTTTTCCGCCAGCAGCGGTAGAACACGCTCTTTCTGATATCGACTCCTGTCATCATCCGTGTCAAACAGAACAATGCGATGCACACGCAGTGATTTAACAAGCGCGTTCTCTAGGAACCCCTGCCAGCAAAACACCCACTGGCACGTGAAACGCGGCGGCACAGAGAGCAAACCACGGCCTAACTCGTCGCGCGGCTGGATGCGTTCAAAGATATGGGTCGGCGGTCGACGTGGTTGCCGTGGCGTGCCTATGGTCATCCACGGGAAACCTTCGGGGTCTCGATTGCTCGCCAGGACCTCGGTAATGACCCCATTGAGTATTGGTCAACGTATGGCACTTGTGATGTGCGCGCGGTCCATCGTAAAGCTGAACCACCGTCGTCAACAGCATCAGCATCAGCACCACCACCATCATCACCACCACCATCACCACAATCACCGTCACCGTCACCACCACCACCACCACCATCATCATCACCATCAGCAGCAGCAGCAGCAGCAGCAACATCGTCATCCCCATCTTCATCCTCCTCGTCGTCACCATCACCACCATCACCGACATCATCAGCATCGTCAGCATCATCACCATCACCAGCCGCATCCTCATCATCGTCACCACAACCGTCACATTCATCACCATCAACATCGTCAGCGGCAGACGTAGAGTCATCACTACCCAGATCGGCATCATCATAATCATCATCATCGGCACAGTCTTCATCATCAACATCACCATCACCATCACCATCATCCTCCGCATCACTATCCGCAGCAACAATATCACAATCATGACCACCATCCGCATCATCATTATCATCAGTGTCATCACTTTCAGCATCAACATCATCATTATCATCCTCCTCATCCCAGTCATACTCCTGCTCCCCATCACCATCGTCATGTTCACATGTTATCGACATCATCCGCATCAGCATCATCATCATCATCATCATCATCACCATCACAACCCTATCCCCATCACCACCCTCAACCGCCACATCATCATCAGCATCATTATCATCAGCATCAGCATGACCCGCATTATCAGCATCATCAACAGCATTATCAGCATCATCAACATGACCACCCTCAACATCATCATCTGCATCATCACCCTCATCATTAATATGATCACCACCATCGTCCCCCATCCTGTACATTCCTCCCCGCTTTCGGTTGCAGCCCAGTCGCTGGCGCGTACCAACAGGATGATGGACGCGGTCTCGCCGTGGAGGGAGCCGACGCCGAGGTCCCAATACCTCCCCATTCTCCCGCTCCTCATTCTCCTCGTCCTCCTCCTCCTCCTCCTGCTCTTCCTCCCCCTCCTCTTCCCCCTCCTCCTCCTCCAACCACTGTGCACCAACGTTGGAGCCCCTGTCGCGCACCAATTTTGGTTTCAAACTGAATATGCCCACTTTCTCCGGAAACCCTGCTCTTGTCCGTCTCACGCGTTTCGGCGTGTGGCTGGCTATCCTCATCAGAACCTTCCACAACCAACCACACGGGGCAGGCCGACGCTGTCACGAACGACAAATCCGCTTCCGTCTGTGTGAAACATCCGTGTGCAACACCCAAATCGCCAGAAAATGGAATCCGGGCTCAGCGCGATGAGCAGAAACAGTTGATATGCCTGCGTTAGCATAGAACCTGGCTTCTTGGTCCTCAGAGAGAAAACAACAACAAAAACTGTCCCCTCTTTCGTGACATCGCGGCATCCTGGTAAATGCATTGGTGGGCATCCGCCGGGTGCCGACCTATTCCTTGAACGGATGCCAACCACGGCCCAGGGGCGTGAGTCACCTGACCCCTGCTGTCAGGCGCTCGTGGGACACCTCGCTCGAGAGGCCCATCCTGGCTTCCACGGCCGTCGGAACCAAGCTACTGGATTCGTCTCCGGACACGACAACACAATCAGAGCGCACCTGCGAAGCCCCTGTTCTGAGGCGACCCTTGCTCCTCTTATGACTGCTGGGGCCGAACGCCAGAGAAGGCTGGCCTCAAGACGACAGCGTCGCGTGGACACTAGGCGCCCGCGCCGAAGTCGAGCTCTGGCGAGACTTTCGGCTGATAGCCAACTGTTTGCCAAACATCTCCACACCACTGGAAGATACAAACATAATGTGCACCCGCGTTGAAGCCCTTTGTCGCGCACCCTTGGGTCTAGGACGGAATATGCCAACTTTCTCGGGCACCCCTGGCCCTGTCCGTCTCCAGCGTTTCGACGTGTGGCTGGCTATCCTCATCAGGACCTGCCCCAACCAACCACACGGGGCAGGCCGATGATGTCACGAACGACACCTCTGTTTCCGACTGTGTGAAACATCACTGCGCGCAACACCCAAATCGCTCGAAGATGTCAAGCGGGCTCAGCGTGATGAGCACACCCTGTTGAACTGCCTGCGTCTTAGTAGAGCCTGGCTTGTTGCACTCAGGAAAGGGAGGAATCTCCTCCTCCTCCTCCTCTTCCTCCTCTTCCTCCTCCTCTTCCTCCTCCTCTTCCTCCTCACCCAACTCCAGTCGCAGCCCATCTCATACTCGTCCACGCCCTCTCGCCCTCTCTCTCGTCGGCCACGCCCGAGTTCTCGTATGGCCACAAAACCGACCATAGCACAAATCATAGCGGGGTAGGACTGCAAGTGCATGAAAAAAGGCGGTGTACATGATGCATAGATTGATAACTTCAACCTGGCCTCAAAACGACGTAAGACCCAAGAGAGTCAGAAGAGGTCCCCGAGTTGGCCGAAGAGGCCCCCCAAGGACGGCGCAAGAAGGACCCAGTAACAACCCCGAGAAGCCCTAAGGGGGTCCCCGAACACCCAAAAGAGGCCCAAGACGGCCCAAAGAGGCCCAAGGAGCATCCAGAAAAAAACTGTTAGGAAGAAAGAGGCATGGAAGATAGAGGCGGAAGATGTGGACGAGGGGAGAGGGGAAGGGCGAGGAGAGGAGGAGAAGTGGGCGGTCGCGGCGTCCAGACTGTACGCGCTGCGGACGTGTCCGCGAAGCGAGGGGAATCCACAAGATAGCTCAGCCTGGGGGGGGCGGGCTGCAGAGGGCGCAGCTGCAGCCCTTCGGATATGTCATGGAAATTATGGGACAAAAGCCTTCGGCGTTTGAGTGATATATTGGCCTGTCGGGGCATCCTTGGCAGACGTGTGGGCAGGGTGGCTCCAAGATTGCCCAAGATGGCGCAAGACGTTCCAAGTTGGCGGGTGGCCTCATGCATGCCTCCAAGAGGCCCCAAGACGGCGCCTCCCAAGGATACGCCCCCGAGAAGCGAGAGTATGTCAAACCCCTAAGGTGATGGTATGGTGTCCGCCTTCTTACCTTCTCGCTACTACTGCGTTTTGGGGCCCCCAAGGTGGATCCCCAAAAGAGCCCCAAAAGGGACCCAGGAGCTACCAAGCGTTCCAAGAGCTACCAAGACTGCCCCAAGAGCTACCAAAAGCGTTCCAAGAGCGTCCCATCCAAGAAACATTGTGTTGTGCTCCAGCGGGGCGATGCTAATTCACGCCGCCTCCAGAGACAGCTCCAACACTACCCCAGATGTCGTATGGCCCCAAAATGTTCGAAGTTGGCTCAAGATGACCTCCAGCATGCTTCCGGGAGGCCCAAGACGGCCCCAAGGCGGCACTAAGACGGAGCCTCCCAAGCGTGCACCAGAAAAACCAAACCAACATCTGCCGACCCTGTCAACCAAGCTCTTCCCTTTGATCCCTTCCCCGCAGGAGCGGGGTCCCACGGGGGGGTAGCGAGGGAGGTAGCAAGGGGGGTACCGAAGGGGGGTCCCTGGTCAAAATCCCATCCCCCCTGTGCGTTCCCAGGGCCCAAGAAGGCTACAGGACGGCCCGAGAGTGCCCCAAGAGGCCAAGACGGTCCAAGAGGGCCCGAATCGCCGAACGACCAGTCCAAGACGCGAAAGATGGCCTCTTCACGGACCAAGAGGCTGCCAAGACGCTCGAAGAAGTCTCCAAGAGCACACCAAGAGGACCCCAACAAACAAAATCAAATGACTGCCATTAGGTTTGGGACAGATTTTGGCGTGCCCGCCTTTCTGGCTTCACCACGCCCCAAGACAGCCCAAGATGCTCTCAAGATCGCCCTAAGAGGCCCCCAAGAGGTTTCGAAGACGGCCCCACAGCGACCCAAGAAAGCCACAAGACGACCCTAGAGGCCTCCAAGACGGCCCAAGAGGCCCCCAAGACGGCTCCAAGAGGGTACCCAGACGGGGGATCCGAACGAATAGCTCGAGCCCCCGGCCCCGAGAAGCTCCCAGGAGGCCCAAAAGGCCCCCAAGAGGCCTCCACAAGAGGCCCCCAAGAGACCTTCAGGAAGTCCCAGTAGGCCCGAAGAGGCTCCGAAGAAGCCCCCAAAATGCTCTCAAGAGGCCCTAGAATTGCCCCCAGAGGCATACGAGAGCGCTCCGAAGAGACCCCACGAAGCATCCCTCAGGACTCTGACCCACGTCAGCGTCGTCAGCGTCGTCGTCGTCATCATCGTCGTCGTCGTCGTCGTTCCAATTCAGGGTCGGCGACACTGGTCGCAAGGCCTTCCCAATATTTCAAACACCTAAGGGCTCTGTTATATTCGCCGCTTCGCCTTTCCGCTGCTCCCGAGGTGGCTCCAAGATCGCCCAAGAGAGCCACAGGAGGGACCCACGAAGGCCCCAAGAAGGCCTCAAGAGCTCCTGAAAGCGCTCTGATGGCAGCCCGACGGAAAACCCGAGCGACGATGTCTCTGTCTCCAGAGGAGTGCTCATCGGCGCCCCCCTGTATTGATCGATGCCGCCCAAGATAAACACAAGAGGACCCCCAAGGACCCTGAGACGGCCCAAGAGAACCCAACATGGCTCCAGAGATGGCCCCAAACAAAACCTCAAGCAGCCCCCAGATCGAGACATCCGCGATTGCCGTACTGGTTGACGCACGGGTCCGCTCGTGCCGATGCCGAGCGTCGTTTTTTTACGGCCGCCTCCCTCTTTTGCTCCAATGCGTGCTCCGAACTGTGCTTCTCTGACCGACGCAACTCGCCTGGGAATCTTTTCTGGATGGGCTGGTGGGGATACCCGTCGATCGGAAGGAGTGAGCTTAGGTCGGGCCTGTCCCCCTACAGGCGGATGTGGGGCGAAAAATTAAAAGTACCCTCAAAAAATACCCAACAAATATTCAAACATGGTCAAAAAATCGTCCCCTGGCTATTTGTTTGCTATTTTTGGAACTTTCCTCCCGTAGAGGGACAGGCCCGACTTAAGAGTGAGCAGAACCATAAAGCAGGAAGGCGTTGAAGCAGATTGGGCTTCCGCCCACCCCCTGAAGAGGAGGGAGGAGGGACGACCGCTCGACTCTCGCAGTAGGAGGGCGCCCAGAGCAGATTATGATCCGGGCGTCCAAGAATACTTCGCGGTGCGCACAGAGGGCGGAGGGAGGGAGGGGGGAGGGCTTCTTAGCAGGAGGCTGATTCTTAGAAGGCACGGGCCTTACATCTATAGATCAGGTCCGCGCCTTCCAAGAAGCAGGGGTGCTTCTCAGAAGCTCTCCCCCCTCCCCCCACCCCCCTCTGCGCGTGGCTGAAATACCTACTTTCAGTGACCGGCGCGTACGCGAACGAACGAATTGTCATTTCCGCAGGAGGACGACCCAGATGTTTTGCGACAGGCGTGCGCGAGCACTCTGGCCCTTCGGCCAGGACCTGGAAAAGTCAGCGCGGTGCACTCATCACTCGTCTCCATGAGAAGCTCACGAACTCATCTTCGTGCTTGTCCCAATCGGCGGTCGTGGCTGCATAGGCCAGCGTCAACAATGCACTGCTCTCGCCGCGGGGGCCTCAAGACAGAAGACGAGCAAGGAGAACGAGGAGGAAGAGGAAGAGATCGGGAAGCCGCGCCTCTCCTAGGCGGGGGGGCCCGTCCGCGGCGCGCGCGCCGCCCACGCCATCGGGCCTCCCGCAGGGAGGGTGCGGCTCAGCGCGGCCAGGCGGCCCGCGGGGCGGGGCCAGCGCCCGCTCGCCGCCGCCGCCGCCAGGTGCTGCCGCCAGGTGCTCTCACACAGCGGGCGGCGATCCGCAACGCGCAGTTTGAGAGGATCGGCCTGCTGCAGTGCTGCTGGCAGCCTCCATTACCACCACCTGGCCTGCGTCCGCCTGGGCTGCGAGTTCGATACCAATCGCATTCAGCTTGAGGTCGACGGGGTGGTTGGGCCCCAAGGCTATCAGGTGGCAGTCGTCAACGTGGTGCACGGGCAGTCTGGGTTCCAAGAGCGGGCTGTGGAACAGTTCGTGGAGCAGGGTGTGGAGGTCCAGCCCGATGGGCCACCAGTGTACGATGGTGGCGTTCATGTTGGTGAAGCGGATGTTGGTTCCGTTCGTGCGGGAGGCGACCGCGCTGCTGGACCCGATCGTGTTGCCGAAGGTGATCGTGATGCTGGAATGCCTGCTGGTGCTGCTAGAGGCGTATGCAAGGTTTCGACGGCACCAATGTGGTAGCGACGGGGGAGCAGAAGTACGGCGAGGCTGTATTCAATGTATTGGATAGCGCAGAGGAGGAGAAATTTGAGGGCACGGAAGGCAAGGAGGAGTTCAAGTCGGAAGGCATGCTGAGCCAGGGGGTCGTGATGGAGGAGACCGTGGACCTGACGCAGCCGTGCACACCTTGCTCGGCAGACGTGGAGATCGCGCGCTCCGATGTGGTCCTTCCTGGGGCTTGGCTACGCCTTCGAGACCGGCGTGTTGGCGCCCGTTCGGGCCAATTCGTTCGCCTCCGCCTACGCCTCGACAGTGCTGAGGCTGCGCCCCGACCGTCGCCCGTTCGGCCCCTGCGGAAACGTGGCTTTGACAAGTCAGAAGTGACAGCCCAATTCTTCGAGGCGGCCTTCAGATTCGGGTACTCGGACGTTGGTGCCATTGGCTACGTGTGCGACATGACGCTATCTGTTTTGCAAGAACGAGGTCTGGATGTGAAGGCACACATGGACGGTGTCTGCTCCGACGAGAACGGCTTCGACCAGGAGTTCGCAGCGGCGATGGCCGTTTCGTGCTGAGTGTGCGCCGCCCTGCTGACTTCACACTTCTCTAGTTTAGCAATTGGAGTTGATTGAGAGGAGGAGAAGGAGGTGGAGCGTTACGACACGGGCTGCGGTTTCCGACGTGCGCCGTGAAGCTCGGCTGCCACGTTTTCGACCGCTTCTAGCCACTGAGCGTCGACATGGAGGAGGTGGAGGCGGTGAGGTGGAGGAGGAGGAGGGTTACGACGACGTTCGTTCATTTTTAATGCACACGTTCGGGGTGCCTTCGTTGCGATTGCTGGAGACAGGGGCCGTGTGACCGCGAAGCGGGTCACTCCCCCGACAGGCCCGCCTGCGGCGGAGGGAGAAGGAGAAGGAGCCACCTCTTGCCCGATGAAGCGGGCGCCCATGTGGAATGCTCTGTTTCAACACTTCGCGACGTGCTCGTGCGAGTCCCCGTTGTGCTGCGGCCAGTTCCTGGCCCCCTCGCCGCCCGCTACAGTGGGCAAGCGCTCATGGCTGCCACGCGTTCGGCCGCTTCGAGCCACTGCGCGGCGACACGGAGGATTGGTGGTGGAGGGAGTTGGAGGAGTGGAGGCGGCGGATGTTTGGAGCTATCTGTATTGGGCAAGTTCTTAGCCACCTCTCGCCCGATGCGTGGGTGAGTACGTGGAAGGCTTTTTCCCGATGCAGTGGGCGAACACGCCGAAGATGACCGCTTGGCGGTGACCGTGGCTGATCTTGTTGAGAGGGTCAGCCTCTCATAGTCGAAATTGGCGTCTCTCTCTCGGACTGTGCTCGCGGCCCGCCACTCCGACCTCTCTCCAAGCGTGGAAGCTGTCGCCTTGTGGCATGGGCTGGGCGCCTCTAGCTCATAGCAGCTTCGCGCCCGTGGCTGGTCCTCCGACTGTGCATCTATGATGATTGAGGTGGAGTTGGTGGTGTGTGTTGGAGGAGGAGTTGGAGGAGGTTAGCAGGAGCAGGTAGGAAGATGGGGGTTCGAGCTGGGTCGACAGCGTGCTAAGCGAGCTGAATGTAACTGGCCTGTGGTTCCTGGCGACTTTGTGGATCGCGGGCGCTTGTACTGGCCCCCCTGGCTGCCTGCCTGCTGCTCTTGCCCGCCTGTTTCGGCAGGCCCCCTGACGCCTCGAGCGATCGCTCCCGCGGCATGCCTCAGAAGGAAGAGATCGGGAGGCCAGCCCGCTGCCTGGGCGCACAAAATGGTGAAGGGGCCCACACACAATAAATAGACACAAATCCCCAGGAGTCCCCACATTTCCCAATACTTTCTGGAGCTTCGTCTTCCCCCCCACTTCCCATATTTTCCCATGCTCTCCTGGCAATCGTCGCTGACGTGTCTTGTGTGCTTTTCCCTCCTGACATGAACGGGACGCCCACCACCCCTGGCGACTGCAGGCGCGCCTGCCCTGGAAAGGGGCGTGCCACAGAAGCTAGGCGCACCGGTGCGCCTGGAGTGTGTAACACTTCTGGCAGCAACGCTGGCAGCATATATAGGGCGACGAGATCTATGCATATCCACTGCTCCTGGCCAGGCCCATCCTGGGCCCAGGAGCGGTGTATATGCCTCCCTGGCCAAGCCAGGAGGGCGTATACACAGCTCTTGGGCCCAGGATTGGTTTGGCCGGGAGCAGTGGATATGTATAGATATCGTCGCCCTAATTTAGTGCAGCTATCCTCCGCGATCGCTGGGTGGCAGCCGTTACGCCTCGATCGTTTCGATCGCCCTGTCCTCCTCGATCGCCGGGTGGCGGCCGTTACGCCTCCAATCGTTCTATCCGACTCTATCCTCCTCGATTGCTGGGTGGCAGCCGTTACGCCTCGATCGTTTCGATCAGCCGATCCTCACCGGCAGATTCCTGGCGACCCACTTTCAACGACCCCGGCAACGGTGAACTCAGCGGAAGCATACTGCCACGGTGGGAGTGGGCGTCCAACCGAAAACGCTGGCCAACGCGATGTGCGCCGGGAGCGAGCCTGCATGCTTGGAGTGGGCTCGACGGCTAGAGAGAAGCGAGCCAGCACGCTCGCGGGGCTCACGATAGAGACACGGGGCGGACAATTCCGCATGGAACCTGTGGTGAGGGAGCTAGCTCTTGAGTAAACATTAGTAAACACTGCTGAAGGAAAAACGGCGAGACAACTCGAACCTCTATCCTCGAACGACGAGGACGAGGACGAGGACGAGGAGACGAGGACGACGACGACGACGACGACGACGAGGACGACGACGACGACGACGACGACGACGACGACGACGACCACGACGACGACGACGACGACGACGACGGCTCCCAGGCGCCAGTGGTCCCCGACGCTGGGCGGCTCCCCGGCGACGGCCGCCGTCGCGCCCATGAAGGTGGGCGCTGCCAGGCCGAGGGCCACTGCCTGCTGGTGAGGCGAAGACGAGGAGGGGGACGAGGGGGGAGGGGAAGGAGGAGCGGGAGGAGGAGGAGGAGGAGCAGCAGCAGGAGGAGGAGGAGGAGGAGGAGGAGGACGGGGACGGGGACGGGGGGCAGGAGAAGAAGAGGAGGAGGATGGCGGCGAGGAGGAGGAGGAGGGAGGAGGAGAGGAGGAGGGAGGAGGAGAGGAGGGAGGAGGAGGAGGAGGAGGAGGAGGAGGAGGAGGAGGAGGAGGAGGAGGGGGGGGACGAGGGGGAGGAGGAGGAGGAAGAGGAGGAGGGGGAGCAAGAAGAGGAGAAATCCACCTGCCAGCGGCGGACGACACCAGCGAAGAAGATCCTGCATGCGGACGAGATGTCCACCCAAGCATGGTAATCGTCTCCCGCTGGAACTCGTGAGATGGCCCCGCAGCCTCTGCACAACATCTCCTTCTCGAACCTCGGCTGTGGACCAGGGGCCGTAGGATAATCCACGCGAAAGACCCCGCAGTTCCTGTAATTGGGTTTCTGAACATTATGGTCGAGGGGAACCGGCTGCTCCACCAGAGTGCCCCGTTGCACTTTCACGCCAGACTCCATCACGAATTCGCGACACGCTGCAAACCTTGCGGCGAAGTCGAAGGAAGCACCGCGCCTCTCGGCACATTCCACGTCCCCCCTATCGACCATACCGCCCGGAGCTGCAATCTGGAAAGAGGGCCCGACCTTCCTGCTCCGACGGTGGACGAGAACGGACGCGCATCCTGCGGCATTCGCAACCACGACGTAAAAACTCATACAAATCCGATGCACCTCGGCCTAAGGAGAATATGATTGTGATCGGGCTGCTGCGTCGGCGCTGCAGGCTCCGGGGCCACGTCTTGCTCGGCGATCTCAAGTGCGGCCGACGAGCTAGCGGGGAGCGCGGCAGCCTGCCCCTCGGCCTTCACCCGGGCCCCAGGCTTCGCCCCGAGCACCTTCCAAGACTCAGGCGGCTGCTGTGGATCGCCAGATAAGTGATCATCGGACGCCCTTCCCAGCTGTCCACCGCTAGGACTAGGATCCCTGTCGCGATCGCTGTCGTCTCCGCTTGAGTCGACCTCCACCAGTCCATCGCCCTTGTCTGGCTTGTCCTTGTTCCTTGCCTCTCGGGTCAGGCGACGTCTTTTGTTGTCGGCCCCCCTTGCGCCTCAAATGCTACCGCGGTCAGCGTCGCGAACGCTTGCTGACGGGCACTCGGCACAGACTCTTCCTCGTCGGCTCTCGGAGACCCTTTTAGTCCTTCCGCGACCGCAACGAGGTCGGCAAGCACGCACAAATTAGACCTCAGGTCCTTGGTGGCGCACTTGACCCGATGGATCCCCCCCCGCGAGCACCTCTTGAAGTAACGGTTCCAAGCGTGGAACTCGAATGACGCCTGCGAGACTTGATCCATCCAAGATCTCTGGGCCCACTGCACCCCAGCTCTCACCGCGAAGCGATAAAGAAAGTCAAGGAATTATTGAGCGTTGCCCTTCTTAGCGCCCTCGGCCACTTCTGGAACCGCTACCTCCGCGACATTGGTCTCCAGCACTTCCAGCTGCCCCTGGGCGCGAGCGAGGCCCATGTCTGCTTCGCGGCACTGCGGAATGAGAACATCCCTGCCCCGACTCACGCCCGGGCAGCGGCCAGGCTTGACCTGCTGAGCATCCGCGCGGGAGTCACCCCCTCTCGGCGCGAAGATGCGACCACCTGCCCCCGCGCAAGAGGCCCTCCTTCAGCACGCCGCATAATGTCGAGAGCGACGAACAATCTGCGAATCTCGACCTCTAGATTCTGACGGGCGACCAGCATGAGCGCCCCGCGGCCTCGAAGGCGCTCGACGTTCGGAGGGGGCTCCGAGGGCACCCATTCAGCAGGGGCGGACCGAGGGGGCATGTGATCATCCACGCGTATGTCAAGAGTCTTGGTGTACTCAATCCTCCGGGCACGATTCTCGTTCTCGGACCGACGGGAGATGACCTCCACGCCCACGACGCCCATCGCGCGCTCATTCCCGGCAGAGGGGCGCCAGAGCCAACGTCTCGCATCGGCTCGTAGTCCAGTGCCTTCGCGGGTGATCACGCCACGGCCTTTCGAACTACCAAAACCAGACTGGGCAAAGGGACTACGCATGGTCGTAGACTCCGGCTGTTGACTACGCACCCCCCCCCGACTTTGGCAGCCCCCTGGGCGCCCCGACCAACGGGAGCGGCGCGGTCGACCCCAGGGCGCGTCTGTTCCAAGGTCCTCCGACGAAGCTCCCGATGACTCTTGCACTGACGAGTCGCGCACTCGTCGGCTCGTAACATCTGAAGAGGGGTAGACACAGCTGGCGCCGAGCCCTCGGCGGACAACGAAGCGAGAGACTGTCATATAAAGCTTCGTAGCCCAGCCCAGGGATCATCGACCGATCCGACTGGATGTCAACCCGAGCTGGCCTCCTTTTTTGTCCACGGAGTCGAACAACTCCCGGTATTCTTCAGCGTCGTGGAAAACTTCTTCGACGTCGAAGTCGACCTGTTCGTCGCCCGAGGTAGCGGGGGGCCTGAGCAAATCACGTCGACCCTGGTTCCACGGGCGGCGTGGCCCCATAGGGCGAAGGAGCCCCGGCCGCGATACCAAAATCGCACGCTGTCGGCAGCGGCGCAAAATAGCACGACGGCACGAGCCCAGCAGCTGCATCACGAGGAGGCAGTTGAGGAGATCACATGTAGACAGAGCAGACGCGGCGGCAGGCAGAGACGAAGAAGTGGAACGTTTCGGAGGTGATGGGGGAGACGCACGAGACACGAGACAACGAAGTAGTGGTAGGACAGGTAAGCTTCGAAATATTCGGTCTTGAATTACGTTTCCTGGTCGCCAGTCGATAAGCTCTCCGCCGTGCCATGTCTTCCTTTTCTCCAGTTATACGTGGCCTGGCCGTCTGCTTCGGTTGAAGTAGAGGCTGCGCGCTTCCCCTTAGCTTAGCCAAACCGTCCGCAGGATTCAGTTCACGTGGAAACCGGCGACACTGCCCACCAAGATTATCCAGGGAGCCCCAAACGAAGGCAATTTCCAATGCGGCTCTCTTTTCGGTCGAAGCAAGTTGTTTCCGATTGAAGACGCAGTACAATGCCTTGGCGTCAGTCATGGCGGCGATGTCCAGGTCGGGGGTCTGATCCACGGTCGCAGTCACTTGCAAGTCCCGGTTCATGCGGCGACGGCCCCAGAGCTCACCGGAAATCTTTCCGCAAAAATCCAAGAAGTCACCAACTGCTCCAGCCAAATCTTCTGACATGGGCTTGGCCTCCACTACCAAAGTAGAACATCCAGCACGTTCTGTGACTTTGCAACATGGGAATACTGACACCCGCTTCTTTACCCACGAGAAGGTCCTGATCTGCGGAGCAAATCATGTTGCCCGTCTGGGAGCGCCCCTGACCCACGCCCTTAACATCCACCAGAATCACACGCAGCGACCAGACGCAACCGAAAAAAGGGCATGGACTTGATCGCGATAGTAACGCTGGCATCCTTGAGCTCCTCCACCTTGGAGTTAGGTAAAGTACTGCTCAAGAGAGTGCTGTCTCCAGAGTCGCTGGGCATTCCTTCCCGGAAAGTCCTATTAACTTTCCTGCGCCATCCACGCATGACGTGCATTTCTGGCGCGGCTGTGTGTTCTGGGCCCTTGCAGCGCCCACGCGGCAAGCGGATGGTGCGTGCCCGTTCCGGAAGATACTGCACCATGGCGATCTCGATATCGACGCTTTCATGTTGCCGTAGGGCACGTCCGCCAGGCTCAGTCGCGTCGTCCGCGAGCTCTGTCCAGATTCCGAACTTGCAGCGCTTACGGATGCGCGGACTGGAGTCGAGAAACTCATCTCCAGTACCACCTCCCAACAAATCATCTGTTTCGACGCAACGGGTCAGGTAAATTGCGCCTTGCGCCCGTCGACTGTCTCGCACATAGACGTGGCGCACGGCGCAGGGGGGCGCCGAATAAAACCGCGCCCTCTGAGAGCTGTCGGAAAAGACTTCTGCGCCAGCCCGGAGGGCCAGTAACCAAACCAGGAACTTATGTTAGCAACCCGATAACGATCCACTCGTTTACGTCTTCTCCAAAGATACCACCAACAGTGGGTGAGGCGAATAGAACTTCCCCCCGCCGGCCCCGCAAACCCCGCACGAAAGATGACTCAACGTCGCCAACCCAGGTTTTGGCATCGATGGATGCCAGACAAAGCAGAGCCAGGGGGGCGTCGGACGTCGACGGGGTAGGCACGGCACGGTCGAGCACAGCAGTGTCGGGAAAATGATACCCGTGAACCATCCATCTGGACTTCGCATCATAGTTCTTGGGCGCAGACGGGTCGTCGAGTCCGTTGTCGTAGTCTCGCCACTTGTCACGCCAACGAGATGGAACGACAAGTTGCGGGCATTTGCGGCAGATGTCTGCTGCGGAAATTCCTCGGCGGATGCGAGCGGCCTTAGTGCATGCGGACCAGCAGCGCAGATCCGTCCACTATTTCGATATACTTCCTTGTTTGCCAATGAAACGTTGTCTCAGGCGTTCAGGCAACGGATTGATACGAATGTCGTCCTCAGCGCGCTTCCTCTCGATGAAGAACAGTCCTGAAGTGTACATGAAAGCCGCCCCGGTCTGTCTGGCAGCGCAAATGTCGCCACGTCGGGGGCCTTGAGAGCTTCCAACAAATCATGCGTCACCTGTGCATTATGGCTACTGTCCACATAATGAATAACAAGCTCGTCCGCACAGATTGCCGCTGCAGGTGCAGCAGTAGTCTGCGCTGGAGGTGGCAATTAGGATGCCGCATTGGCAGGTCAGAGCACGCGCGAACTTCGCGCCGTCGCGCCGGATGCTCCATCCGGCGCAACCGGCACAGAGCTCTCGTTGGATACTGGCTGGCCTTGCGGCTCGACAGATGCGGCACCCAGTCTGGGTCGCACCCGGCCATCGGCGCTTTGTGGCGCTGGTCGAGCGTCGAGCGA